TCCTTAAACTTTTTATTATTACTATTATTATTATTGTTCCTGAAGCAGAAAATAAAAGAAAAAAATAATAAAACAACTTGAAAAGGTAAAAAAAAAAAAATCAAAATTTTATTTTAAAAAAAAATGGAAAAAATAATTTTTTTATTTCCAAATTACGTAAGTTTTTTTTTTTTTTTATATCTCGTTAAAAATTTTAGTCGGAAAATTTTTTTTTTTTTTCCTTACGAATTCACAAATTGCGACTAAAATGATGAAAATCAAAGGAATCTTTTCCCTCACTTGTTCAAATACAAATAATTAAATATATATTAATAAAGGTAATAATTTTTTATTTCCTTTCGGATAAATGACGTCATTATTAACCGTTTCGAAACGGAAGTTGAAATACTAAAGGTAATAAACATTTATCGCAATTAAAAACTTTTTGTTAATTTTTTTTTAAATAAAAATAAAACAAAGGAAATCACGCATCGAGTGTTAATAAATCATTCATTTTTAATTAATTAAACTCATTAAATTTATTATTATTAATTTTATTTTGTGGGTATGATTAAATGTCAAGAGGAATGAATGAAAAACTTTTTTTTTTTTTTAAAAATTCACAACAACAACAGCAGCAACATTATCATCAACATAATCCTCACACTATTTACATAAAATAATTAATTTGACTAAATCAATTGAATTGTAACAAAATTTCATTGAAAATTTTAAATGATAATTAATAGGATGATGAACTAATTAGCAAAAAAAAAAAAAATTTTTTTTTACATCCTAACATTAATTTTTTTTTGTAAACGTTTGTGATTGAATGACTCTTAGTTAATATAAAATTAATAATTATAATTAATTTTTCCAGAACGTTTTATTTGCTTTTATCGGTGGAATTTTTTTTCTAACTGCATCAATTGTTGTCATGTACGATTGGAACGAAAATAGAAATGCAATTTTTTCCTCTAATAGACAATATCAAGACATGGCAATAACAGCTGGAGTTTTTGGACTTGTCGCCGCAATTATTATGTTTATCGAAGGAATTTTATATTTTGTCCTTAAAAATCAATCCGATTAAATAACATAAAATTATTATTATTATTATTATTAGTTATGATAATTTTTTTTTTTTTTTTTTTTTTTTTAAATTATAAAAAATATTATTATTGATTTTATGACAAAGTTGAAAAAAAAAAAAAAATTTTTTTAAACTTTTTTTGTAATTATTATTATTAAATAAAGTTTTTTTTTAGACTGTTTATTTATTTATTTTTTTGTCTTTAGTTTTCTTTAAATTAAAAAAAAAAAAAAAACTACAATACTTGACAATCTTGCTTGTAAGCTAGCTAGTAAAAAACGAATAAAAAAATAA